TTTCCTTTCCTTTCCTTTCCTTTCCTTTCTTGCAGTGGCTATTCCAGCACTGGTTTTCCTACATTTTTACAGTGGGAAGACTGATGCTGTCAATCTTACGCAGACAGGATTAAAAAAAAAAAAGCTTCATTCACCAGTCAGTTACTTTTCATCTCCAAATGTAATAGGAGATTAGTTCTGGTTACTGTTATGAGATTTTTAGAATTTGCTCGGTTGCTTAGAATAAATGGGAAAAGTGGTACTATAGTGAGATGAGAACCTGTCATATCTGGGAAGGATAAAAGGGAAGGAGATCTGGATTCTCTTCTGTGCCACAGATTCAGGAAGGAGGTAGTGTCTGTATGCCTTATTTTTCAGGCTCTGGAATAATGCTCTATCTTTGCTTTTTCTGTTTGGCGTTTCAGGATGTGTATTCTTTTCTTGTATGGAGTCACTCAGACACACACATACACAGATAGATGGATAGATACAGATATACAGCACTTAGTGGGGATTGTGTAAGCCGTACACTGGTAAGTTAGAACCGATGCAACATTTGGAATTGTTTAAACCCCTCTTGTTGGCCTGTTTGGAAATAACGTGTACTACTACTGTGCCATGTAGTGTGCCAGCAAAACATTGGCTTGCACAGAGATGGAGGCAGGTGCTGAATTATGCCCTTGTTTAACCAAAGATCTCCTAGTTGGGGGCTATCCTAAAAAAAAATCACATCCTCCTGGAGGGAATAGGGTTGGCGAGTGACCAGCTGCAAATCCAAACTCAGAAATCCTAGCTGCAACGTAACCACGTAGTACTTGTGGAATGATCCCTGCACCATTTGTTTCTTGCACTTGACCACTGGGGAATGTGTTTGTCGTCCTTCTCACGCCTGTCACGTTGGGTGCTTTGTCAGATCAGAATACATCGTCGCTGTGCGTCTCTCTGTCCCTTGACTTGTCATAGGCACAAATCTTTTTCAAATGTTCTGCTCTGTTCATTTCCATTATTACAGCTGGTGCTTCTAGGTGGCAAGGAAAAATGAATAACCTTGTAAATGCTCCCTGTCTTTCAATTTGTTTTATTTTTCATATAACGTGTCAGTGCATTTTTGTTGAGTGTTTTTAATAAGATGAAGTTGATGAAAATAAATTGCTTTGCAGTTCCTACTGTGGGTGACAGAAATGCTGGGTCTGTAATTTTCCAAAACTGTGTGTTTGAAACCAGTGTGGGGGGTGTTCTGTATGCCTGTAACTGCAATCACCTTCGTGAAATACCTCCCAGGAAAAGAAAGCAGCTATCGGTTTGAATTTTGGGGGCAAGATGCACTGCTGTATGCAGCTTCTGCTGGGCACAGTGAGAAAGGGAGCTGTCAAGGAGAATTTTAGGATTGATTCTGTGCCAGGCTTGAGTCTGCCATATGGGATAGTTAGCCAGACCTGTCTCTAGTATGAGAGGGAGAATGAATTATATAGCAAACCCTCTTACCAGAGTGTCAGTTAGCCAAGGCTTGGAAAGTGAGGACTGGGACTTGAAAATGTGGACACCCCACTGCCCATGGCTACTGCATATCAGCTTTCTTCTGAGCAGTTCAATGTCTTGCTCAAAAAATACAATGCGGCTAAACAGTGATCTCCATGTTACTAAGTGTACTCAGTAGACAGTCTGGTAACTACTCATCTCTTCTTGGAGAGAAGATAACTCACATATTCCAAATGTGATTTCCAAGTCAAGATTTTTCTCTTTTTTTACTCATTTTAATGAAAAAAGGTCAATATTTCCATATTTCTTGTAACTCTATTTTGATAAAAATAGCAGAAAATACGATTTTAATTCCCTAAAGTTTAGAATTTCATTTGTGGTGCACTTTTTTGTGCTTTTGTACTACTTTAATATCCGTCTCTTACTGCATTCTCTGCTGCATTTCTGTAAGGCAGGGAAATGCTTTCTCTTTGTGCTGGCTAGGAGCTAACACATGGAGGTTGCACAGGAGCTGATGATGGACCAGGGGTTCAGGTCCCACATTTGCAACTTCAGGGCTAATGCCATTAACATTAAGCCAATTTTACTTTCCTCAGAACAGCTTTTACTCCTTCTACTGTTCCATCTCTTTTGAAACATTGAGAACAGGAATAATTAAACCCCCAAATTTATAATAATCTTCTCCTCTTTCCATCTCAAATTCAGAAATTTCCTCTGAGATTATGCTGCTTGCGGTACAGAAAAAACAGTATCCTGGGTTAATTATTTTAATTGCCCACTCAAATTTGAAGAGTTGGATTAAAACTGGTAATAAAACTAGCTTGCTGTAAAGCAAAGCATTGAGAGACAGGAGTCATACTGCTCATAAAGTTCAGCCTGGTCTGCTGTACTGTTGCGAGGAAAGAACAGAGAAGTACACTCAAAAATTGGAATAGCATCTAATTCCTGTTTGCAAGTTTTCTGGTGATGTGTCTCAAACAAATGGCCAGAGGTTTGACTGCCCTCTTCACCCTTGCACTGTTGCTTTACAGAAATGACCTTTCAGATCACATGCCTTGGTGTGCAACCTTGAAACTCACTTCAAAGGGGTTAGGCAGTAAGGGAGGAGTACGGGTTTCTGCCTCTCTTACAGGGTTTAAACCAGCTAACAGAACCAAAGAACAAAAGTGATTTTTTCAGTAAAAGTAATAATAATAATTTCTTGTTTATACTTGTCATTTCAGATTCTGAATAAATAATCTCACTGCATATTCTTCATTCTGTATTAGAACAGTATATGCTGGGCAAACAAGCAAGGATACAGTAGAGCACAAAATCACCATGGAGATGGAAGAAGTCCATGGAGGTTTCAAGCAATCCTCTTGCCAGTAGAAGTCCATTGCTTAGTCCATATTATATCTGTTTTATTTTTAAATGGTTCAGTTGATGGTGTTCCTGCCACTTCTCTGGGGAAACTATTTCATTCCCGCTGTTAGGCAACATTTCCAAAGATTTATACCAAGTTTTCCTCTGTTTGGCTGCCTTTCATTACCCCTACTTACAACAACAAGATGGTCCATCCATGGCAAGTCCTTTGCTTCCAGAAGATTTCATTCTTCTCTCTATGACTGCCAGCAGTGCTGTGTGAGGTCTGGGGTTTCCTCTCTTGCTCCTAGGTTCCCATTGTGCCACATTTATTCACTCAGTGTTGCATTTTTCATGTATGAGTTGCAAGGGAGGGCAGCTACTCCAGCAAGTCACTGCTCTTCAGGAGCAAAAGCCGAAGCCTTTGTGTAGGCTGCACACATGTAGTTCTTTTTATCTGTTTTCATAATTTAAACTATTCACTTTTTTTTTTTAATTCCCTCTAGTTTGTTGACATCTGTCTGGTTCTCAGGTTTCCAAGACAGAACAGTGTGTGAGTGCAGGTTTGCCGCAGCTGTTTTATAAAGGAACTGTCAGCTTGGTTAAGGGACCTGATGCTTCCTAGTACACAGTTTCACTCCACAGTAGCTTTAAGAGCTACGGTGAAAGCTTACACCTGATTATTCTCTTCTTCCTCTCCTGGTCCTTTAAGTAATTTTTGGCTTCTGGATTATCCCTCACTATTATATTGAACACTGAATCCAATAGTGGCATGTCTGAAGTTTGCAGAACCCTTGTTAAAAATATTAATCGTTTCTGATTCTTTTCCACTATTCTTTTCAGAAGTGTTCTCCATGTCTGCATGTCAATATAGGTATTTGTATATAACTCTCTGTGTGTGAGGGGGTTGGTATGATAATGTGCTTACAAAATCCTGGCTTTGTTATTTTCTAGGTATTTGGTGCTAGAACATGTGTCAGGTGGGGAGCTCTTCGACTATCTTGTAAAAAAGGGAAGATTGACACCAAAAGAAGCCAGGAAGTTCTTCCGACAAATCATCTCTGCTTTAGACTTCTGCCATAGTCATTCAATATGGTGAGTACAGCCATCTCCAATGGGAGTTACCTGTTACATAAAAGCACAGAATAAAGGGTTCTTCTTTGTGGATACTTTTACTTACTCTTAGGTAACTGATGTTGTAAAGTTCTAAAAGCATTGTGTAGAGTGCTGATGTATTTTTTAATTCTTGGCCATCTGTGAGATAGTGCACCAGTCTCAGATAGACTTTTCATGGAGAAGATTGTCCATCATTTCTCACTGGAGGGGAACTAATTCACAGGGAATGCTTTAACCAGGAAAACCAAAACCACCAAGGAAAAGCAGTTTAATTTCCATCATTCTTGGGGCACTTGCTAATAACTGAGAATTACATACACTATAACAAAATGAATCCCTGAAGAAACTTGGGACAATTACAAATACAGCAAAGTCATTTTATGGCTTCCTTCAGTTTTTGGAAACCTGCTGCCTTTTGGCAACCTTCACTGAGTCCCTTCTGCGCATTTGAGTCACTGTTACCTTTAATTTCCTTTCCAGTAGGGGAGAATTTCCTTGATCTGTCTGCTATTGATACTCACTAACTCCATGATTTAACCATCAAGTGTGGTTTAACCTGTGCTTTCAGGTGATGTTTTAAATTAGACCAGTCTCTCCTTCATCTTCAGCAAGTTTATGTAATTGAAATTATACTGAAATAAAGTTGTTATAATCGGTCTGAGCACAGGGTTTCTGTATAGCTGCTGTCCCATAACTGCCTCCTCATTTCTCAGAAATGCATCTCCTCAGATTTAGGTTGGCTGGGGAGACCATTTACATTATGTCTGTGTGGCTGCTTCTCCATAGCCACAGACAGGGGTAGATGCTCCCCTCAGACACGGGGTAGATGCTCCCCTCCAGGAGGCCGGGGGCCACTGATGGATACTGCAGAAGACAGATTTGCATAATCACTGTGTGGTTACTTCTCAGTAGCCATACAGTGATTTTCTGTACCCCCAGTTTTGGTGTTGAGAACAGACGTCCACAGCATAAATGGCCACAGCAAAAATGGATGCCTAAATATTTAACCTGCTCTTTTAGCTCCCTCCCTCTACAGCTCTGACTCATTTCAACAGGAAATATTAATCTGAAAGAGAGCATACTTCTAATAAATGGAAAGGGAAGTAAGAGCCTTTCTTGAGGATATATTAAGAAGAGTATACTGTTAGCAGAAGAAGCAGTTCAAAGGTGGTGGTTCTGGGTGAGAAGGTCCTGAGGACAATGCCTACCTGGCACAATAGTCAGAGATATTCCCAGAGGAGCCCAGAGCAGGTTGTGTGTCCTAACTAGAGGATCTAAATTTTCTCTGTTGGCAGAGAGGTCTAACAAGTTTTATTCTGCGAATTCCACATTTTTTCCTCCCTGCTAATCAACTGGGTTGAGTGATCATGACCTTCTTATAATCAGCATAATCCTTGGTAGGTTGTACAGCTGTTATTTTTTATGTACACTGGGCAGTGTAACCACTGGTGGATTGCATACGTATACGTTTCTGTTCCCTACTTGGCTTAACACTAAGAGACCCAATACAAGAAGACTCAAAAATATTTAAGTACAACTGAAGAGAAATTATTTACTCTTCCAAATGCATATTTCAGAGAAATACAAATCTCCATTGGGATAGAAGTTTCTCTGAAAGCATGCATATACATACTAGTCCTTTGGGCTTGTGATGGATACCCCTTGATATGTCAAACTTTAATAAACTGAGTGAGGATCATGGTGAGGCTGTCAGACAGACAAGCGCCCCTGCAGGTTTAACGATATGTGGAATTTCCAAGGCAGAGTGCACATCTCTCTTGAGGAATCCATTTTCCTCTGTTAAATATACTGGATCGTGGGCAGTAGTCATGTTTAGAAGTAAATCCCCTGTCTCCTTGCCAACTCCCACTCGACTAGCATCTGGTGCTGAATAAGTTAGCAGTAAATCATAAGCTCTCCCTCCCTCCAGGTCACTCTGAGGCTTGTGTGGTCTGTGTTACATTAGATTCTGTGTTGTATTCTGCACAGTTATCATTAAACCCTTTTTGAAAATCACAGCATGCATAAATATATGTAAGTGCGTGTATGTAAGTATAAAAGTTAATGTGCTTTCCTAAGCAATGAAGCCTGACCTTGTCCTGTCGTGGGGCAATGAAATGACAAATCATCTCATCAGCCAGGTTATCCAGTTATGACCATGTTGAAAAATGAAGGCTTCTGCTTTAGTTAATGACTAAATGTGGGTGCCTCTAACCTACTGGCAGAATAGATTGATAGCCTGGTGTCCCCAGCCCTGTATCATGGTCCCATCTTCTTTCTGTACCTCCCAAAACACTGTGAAACGTCCATGGCTTACTTTCACAGCAGTATGTAACCACATTCAGCTTTCATGGCTCAAAATGTATTGATGCACCAGGATTCCCGGATCAAAGAATCAGAAAGGATTCCCCAGTCCTCCCGTCAGTAAAAGGCTTCTGCTGCTACTGTGTGGAGAGATTGCCTGTATCTGAGAGGTGTTTTCAAAAAAGCAGCTCAGACAAGGAAGCAGAATAGGCTTGGAGCTTAAGTCTGTTTGTGTGTTGTTTTAAAAAAGTATAAGCTTTCTGTTCTTATTTTACTTAAAGGAAACAGTGGGGGAAGATTTGATGTACCTCACTCCGAGGTGCAGTCACTTACAGGATTTTCTGGTACAGGATGGCCATGGGGGAAAGCTTATAGGTAACCCACTGTAGGGTCCTCTAAGGGCTTTTCTGTGTACATAGCACCATGCCATGCTACGGAACCAGAAGCAACCATGAGATGCGAACAGACAGCACTGCGCAGAGGGATTACGTGGGATCCTGCAAACAGCATATCTGTGTTACCTTGCTGCTTTGCCTGAGCTGGCAAGCAGAGCGGTGATGCAGCTCAGTGATGCAGCATTATTACTTCTGCTTCCAGCTCTTCCTCTCTGCTAGCTCCGAGGGCTCTGCACCGTGCTGCAGTGTCTGGAGCAGACGCGCTCAGCGGTGGTGCAAGAAATGGCAGAGGAACCTGAGTTTCTTTGGACATCAGTGTAAGACCATCCTAGCTTAGGAAGTTTTCTTTGGACATAACTGATTTTTTTTTTTCCTAAGCTGCCACTCACCTAATGCTGGGTGTCTGCTCTCCTAAATTCAGGGCTTTCAAGATATGTCAGTTGGGTGCCCCAAATCAATAGTCCTTTTCGAATATCCTGCCCCCATACTGTGGGAGAACTCTCAGCTAATTCAGCGCTGGCTATATTTTCTGTCGGAAACAGTGTAGGAGCACGTATCGAGCTAGGTCACAAATCCTTGCTTTCCTCTGGAAGAGTCTCTTTTATCTCGCGCGAGGGAATGCTGCAGCACTAAGGGAGGGTGGGAGCCGGGCGAGGAGAGCTGGCGCGCGCCTCATTGGCTGGGTGTGACATCACCAGCAAGATCTGGGATTGGTGGCGTGCGTATTTTGTGTGTGTTGGGTTTTTGCTTTGGTCAAGCTCATATTTGGTGTCTGTATCTCACAAGCTGACAAATAAAAATATGATTACAGAAAATGCCCCGTGGCAAACCTTATTATGGCTTCAGAGATAACAGATAATGCCAATTACTGCACAGGGCAGTGATGACATTGAGAGGAAATCCCCTGCGGTAATGAGCAGCAAGATGGGTATTTCATTTTATTTTTATTTTGGTTGGGTTTCATTTTGTGTTTTTTTCCCAAGCATGCACAAGAGGGGGTTAAGGCAGGTTCTTTATGAATATTGATAAATGACAATTATTAGGGCCCTTTCTCCTTTCATTGCCTGGGGCTGTGCCTGCTTGAGTACGCACAAGGCTCTTGTTGAAGTGTGTCTGTGTGTGCATGCGTAGGCATGAGGGTGTGTGACTTAGAGGGCTGAAGCAATGAATAAGAGCTTTGTTTGACTTCGCCTTGTGTTCTTCCCATCAGGGGGGGAAAAGGCTCCTTATAAAATAACGCTTCAAGATTTCACAGCAGTAGTGGCAAAATCTCTGGTATATTCCTGCAGGCAGGAGCTGCAGAGCACTGTCGGTAAAGGAAGCATACTTTTAGGGAGAAATCTGGGGTGTCTTCAAGAAACACAGAAAGCTGAAGAATGCCAGATGCCACGTTCTGTCAGATAGTGCCACCTTCCTAGTGACTCCTGCTCTGCTTTGCTTCATTTATAAGGAGTGTGCTATAGTGTTCCGCAGGGATGGTCTATCGAACACTTAAGACTGCAGCAGCTGGACAGTTTGAAATCATGACTCAAGGCCTCCAAATGTGAAAATGGTCTAGAAATTGTGGAATTTAATAAGATTGGTCTCTGGATGTGTTTTTTTCTGGCCCTTGAGTCTTTAGGATTTCAAGTTTTCTTTCAGACCATCAGAAGTGAGGAAGGTACCTTTTTCCACTGTTGAGAGCTGAGATTCACCAATCATTGCCTGAATCCAGGAGCTTCAGATCTGTGATTGAGACTCACTCTAAAACAGTGAAGAATTTTCAAATTTCCCTGGTACAGGGAACTGGAGAAAAGCCGTTAAGTACAGCAGCTCCAATGCCAAAGGCAAAGCTAAAGTCAGAAGACACGTATTGTTGTAAGTTTACTTCTTTATACAAGCCACTGGAAACTCAAAAATGGCATAGTCTTATTGTAAGCATCACCAGGTAACATTCTCTGGCAAGTACAGCAGTGGTGATCAGACCTGACAGTCTGTTCTGGCTTTGAAATGTATGAATATATGTTTTGATGCAAGGTTGGTGGGGAAGAGCAGTATATCTTAATAGATCAATGGAAGTAATTGTTAAAAAGCAAGCAAGGCTTTATGCATACAAACCCTTTCCCAGGTCTCCTGATATGTTTATAGAAGTTGTCCTTTTACGTAGCTATAACTATATTTACTTGTTCTGCAGAATTCTGTGAAAACTTACTAAAATTGAGCATAGCAACCATGGCTCTAAACAAAGATTCTTCTGTAGGTACATACAAGTTACACATCCATATCTGATTTGCAGAAGCA